GGAGGGAGGAAGGAGGAAGGAGGGAGGGAGGGAGGAAGGATGGAAGGATCTTCCCCATTGGAACTATAAATTCGATCATCATGAATGATTGCAGTTATTTTTCTTCCTTGTTCTGGACTTGAGCAGGACCCTTTAGCCACACTAGGGACCACATAAGGAGCCCTGGTGGCACAGTGGTTAAGCACTCAGCTGCTAACTGAAAGGTCAGCAGTTCAACCCTACCAGCCGCTTTGAGGGAGAAAGATGTGGCAGTCTGCTTCTGTAAAGATTATGGCCTTGGAAACCCTATGCGGCAGTTCTACTCTGTTCTGTAGGGTTACTACGAGTCGGAATTGTCTCAACCACAATGGGTTTGGTTTTTTGGTTTTGGGGGACCACACTGAAAGAAATCAGCAAATACTAATGGGGCATCTACTATGGGTGAGGGTCCACGAAGCACCTGGTGGCCACTGAGTCCCTCCAAGATATTTTGAAAATCCAGATAACTTTATTTTCAGAATACCTCCCAAGTATCTTCCAATAAAATGCAGCGGCAAGGAGTGGGATTGGATTTCGACTCCGAGTCAGGTTATCAGTGGGTAGGGAAGGCCAGCCAGCGAGTGTGGGGTCTGTCTAAGCCAGGATTTACTCCAGTGCATTTCTATTTCACCCCAATCCACTCATCCCCATTTATCTGCAGCCTGTCTCCATTTATACTCCACTAAAGAGCCTTTCAACAATTGTGGCGAACCAATGTATCTTTCCGTCTGCATTAATCAGACAAAAGCTAGAGCTGTCTAAGATTAAAAGTGTCTAATATCTAAGTTTTATTATCTCCCCCCAACTTTTTATTTTGTTTTGATCTTAGGACTTCAAGGACAGAAAGGAACAAAAGGAGAATTAGGAGTCCCAGGTAAGGGGCTGGCTTCATTTTAATTACTCAGAACGAGGACTGGAGAGGCCTGTGCACTCAGAGGGCAGTGCTTGTTGACAGAACGTCCAGCTGTGTGACCTTCCCTCCAAAGCTGCCATGCCCAAGCCCGTTGCAGGCTAATACTCCAGGGTTCTGTCACTCCTTCCTGGATTGTTCCTTTGGAAATCCTGGGGAACAACACGAACTCAGTCTCCTAGGGGGGTCGGGTGGAGAAGGGAAAAAAAAATGTCAGGATTGCTGGGGATACAGGTGGGGTCGCCAGGCCATGCTGCTAGACACCATGGAGCTGCTGACCTCCCTCTCCAGTCCCCAAGGTGGCGGATAGGTTGCTTCCCCAAATCTGCTGTGGTCCATTTCTGTCTCCTCTGTGCCCCGCTGCCAGGAGTCACTGTGAGGTGCAAACGGTCAATACACTCAGCTGCTAACCGAAAGGTTAGAGGCTTAAGTACACCGAGAAGCACTGCAGAAGAAAGTCCTGGCAATCTACTTACAAAAAATCAGCCACTGAAAACCCTATGGAGCACAGTTTTACTCTGACACGCATGGGGTTGCCATGAGTCAGAGTGGACTCCAGGGTAGCTGGTTTGATTTGACTCGATCTGGTGCCCTACAAGCCCCTTCTGTCCTCCACCTGCTGCTCTTAAGTAGGCTGTCATTATTCTCATCCTCGCTGACGGAGGCCTTGCTGGTGGTCGGTTACTGAGCTCGCACTTCTGACACACCGTCTCTAGTCCTCTGAACAGCACTTCCCTAGTGAGTGCTAAAGCACGGTTTCTTAGATTTCTTGAGCAATCTTTGTTTGCATGAGCTAGATAATTTTTACTGTTTTATGTTACTAAGTGAGAAATTGGGACCTAGAAACATTCTAGCATATTCTCCCAACGCGGCTAGGACTTCCACACGATCCGGCTTGCGCTCCACCTGCATGCTCAACATCAGTGTTTAGGTGGCGGTCAGGGGGTCAGAGCCATCCCCCTACTGGGACCTAAGACACAGGCTGAGCATTCAAACAGCCCCTCCATGGGCGAAAGGCCAACTCACACATCAAACACCAAGGCCTGTGGGTTCTCCTCGTGAAGCAGAGCGGAGTGGCTGATGGAGGTGGTCTCTCTCCTCTCCAGGCCTTGCAGGCGTGAAGGGAGAAAGAGGAAGTCCAGGGCCAGCAGGCCCCAAGGGTGCATCTGGACCAGCTGGCCAGAAGGGAGACCCAGGGATGAAAGGTAAGCCCTCCGTTTCTGATTTGTGGGTTTGTAAGAGGGGCAAGCAGAAGTGCGAGGATTCAGCTGACAGGGCCCCAGGCACTGAGCATACAGACCGAACAAATCACAGCCCTGGACCTCGGGGAGACAGACCATGAAATTGCCCCGTGTCTGTCGACCCCACTGTCGCCCCAGACAGTTTCCATGCCTGACTGGGTCCTTCCATGAAGGGATGCTTCCATCCCGTGCCATGTCTCTTACCTGTCAAATGCCAGGGGCAGTGGTGTTCATTGGTAGAAGTCTCCCCTTCCATGCAGGAGACCCAGCTTTGACCCCAGGCCAATGTGCAGCCACCACCAGCCTCTCAGGGGAGGCTTGCATCGTGCTGTGATGCTTAACAAGTTTCAGTGGAGCGTCCAGACTAAGACAGACTAGGAAGAAAGGCCTGGTGATCCACTTGTAAAAAATCAGCCAATGAAATGTGATCACAATCTGGATCGCTGCAGTCCAATCCTATTGTGTATGGGGTCACCACGAGTTGAGGGTCGACTTGGTGGCAGTTAACAACAGTCTAACTTAAATCCTTCCTGCTGCAGCTTAGGCCCCTTTCTTCTTGCTCAACCAATGGAGCCCACAGCAGATCCCATACCCATGATGCTAGTTCCCTGGCAAGACCAAAGGAGACAGCCTGGCCCCTTCCCACGCCTCCACCCTCCCCCCTACTGCTGACAAAGGAGGGCGAGGGGACCTAGGCTTGGTTTCTTTCAAATTGTGTGCTTTTTCTCCTCATGACAGGATCTCCCGGGCAGAAAGGGGTAAAGGGAGAACAGGGTCAAAAAGGTAATTACTGTTTATATTCTCTTTAATTTGTGCTTTAGAGTCAATTATGTACTTAGAAATCGAGTGTGTGGTTGGGGAAAAGGCCTTGATTCTCAAAGAAATTCCTCATTTTGGGGAAAAGCTAA